TTTTTTTGACAGCCTGAATGGCAGACTCCTTACTTACTAGAAAGACATTAAGTTCCTTGGAAGCTTTCTGTTTACAGAACTAACCCTTTCTAGCTGATATACTGAGTTTCTTTTGCTACTCCTTGTGTTATCTTATATACTCATGGGAGAAAGCTTTCTGAATCAGATCCTTTTTAGCTCTTAGAACAGTTGCAGCATTTGAAACCCCATAATAAAAAGTTTTTATTCCAAAGTTTTGGTTTCATTTATGAACCCAGACGAGGTCTTTTCCTTGGAGATGTCTCCTCCTCTTCATCATCATCTTCATCATCAGGATAATCCACTAGGCCAACTAGACTTCCCTGCCAATTAATTAAAAAAAAAAAAAAAAAGAAAAAGAAAATCTCACATTGAAAAAAACACCCAGGAATGTGCAATTTCAGTACATAACCCCCAAGCAACCTGTGCGGGACACACAAGCCTGCAGCAGGTGGTTTCTCGGTGTTGCCTTTTTCAGTCAAAGACCCATTTGTCTTGAGAATGTTTCTGAACCTCAAGGTTGAAAGAGTACTGGAACTTCCTTGCTCCTCTGGATCTGGCCTCAGAATTCTTTAGAAATCACTTTCTAAGCTCCCAACTGGACAGTCACAAACTCTAACGTGCACACTGCTCATCCATTCTGCTGGTAAGTCTTAGGTGTGTGCAGTAACGTTTCTGCCACACTTTTCCTTAGCCTCTCAGGAGCTTGCAGGCTAAAGATTAAAGTAGCACACGACTGTACAAGATGTACCAGAGGTATCACTCGCTGTATTTTGTCTGCTTAAAAACACTTCTTAATTCCCCGATGGGGGCTGGGGGGAGGTACTAACGTAATTCAGAAAAAATCCCTCTCATAGGTATAGCACTCCCACACAGCAGCAACGGCACTTACAAAAGCTGAGGAGAGGGAACAGTTAAAATTACACAGAAGGTGCGAGATTAAACTGTGCCCACCAGATGAGCAGCAGACTCCAGTCCCACCTCATACTTTCTTAAACCTTCCCCCAAACTAGTAAGGGTTTAACTAGACAGGGCTTTGGGTGAATCGATATGTAAATAAGATACCCTGCCTAGAGGCTAATGCTAACCGTACCGCATTACCACCGGTAAAGTCTCGTGATACTGCTCCACTGCCTGCCCTAAGCGAGGACAGCAGCTTTTGTAGGAGTTCCCCCACCTTGGTGGCTGTCACCGCTGTGGTCAGGGTTGCGTTCTTTGAAGAGGAGCCGTTGGAGCTTGCTGGTGACGTCTGAGCTGCCACGGATTTACTGTTTGCACCGTTTGCACCATTGGCTGCGCTGGCTGAGTGGGAAAAAGTGAATTTGAATCCCCCAGCTGAAGTCCTTTTTGGAAGATTCTCTTTGTCTTCACTCTCCTTAGCTGAGGGACAAACATTTTCAATACTTAAGTATCAGCTGCACACCATGGAGTACAATCCACATCACAGCATCATCACAGGGCAAAAGTCGCCTTTTTTTTTTTTAAATTCCATTTAAATCAGCAGCTCGGCTACTAACCTCATCCAAAGCATGCCAGCACTCAAACGGAGAACGGCACAGATGCTGTGGGCACGGGGACACTGCTCACTCCGCGCACACAAGTACGCACAAAGTTGTGCTTCTGAACATCCTTTAAACTAGATGCGTGCTTGGAGCAATTTAACTCATTACTTTAATCCTAAACTAGCTTGCAAAGACGTGTTAGGAATTCATTACTTAATTACCTGGAATACTCTTACTCCTGCTTACGATACAGAGCACAAGCAACTGGTTTGTTTACATGCTACTCCACATATCTGCCGTAGAGCACTTCCAGTGCTGACAAGCTGAAACTGAGTAAATACCTTTTTTAGTTTCCATAAATTTTTCATAGCTATCTGGAAAATCATCCTCCTGTTTTGACTTCTCAACTGGAGGTACAACGGCTTCACCTTCTTCCTCTTCATCTTCATTGAACCACATTTCTTCATCCTCCTCTAAGGCTCTTGCATCTCTGCGAAATCTATTGCTACGCAATATAGATGGAACACTGTAAGAGACACATGACAAATGATTGAAGTTTTGCCCGCTGTTTCAGACTCAGCGAGGATCGGAAATAGCTTCTGACGCTTTAAAGTGAATTCGGTGCGTTTGCAAAGGTTCTACCGTCAATGTCAGCTTCACCGAAACCCCAGCCGACAGTAAGGCAGACTGAATCCTGTCTCCGAACGACAGAAGAAGATTCTGCTTTTCATGAGCTGAGAGTTTTCTGAATGTAACAGTTAATATACCGACAAATGGGAACTGCACTACAGTAGGCCCCAAGGAAAGTCAGACGGGGGTTTACTCTAATTAAAAAAGGTTTCGTCAAGAATGAAAAAACACCCCAATCCCAGCCTCCTGCTTTTTCTGCCCTCTAGGAAAGAAAAAACCCCAACAACCAGCAGTACTACATCATGGCCATTCAATAAAAGTCTCAGAGTACATAAACCGGGTCATACCTGTTCAGTTTCTGGTTTTGTCGGTCTTTTTCTTGCTCATATTTTGTCTTCAGTCCCTTGAATGTCTGAACATATTCAATAGATTCAAGTGCATTATAAAAGTTTTCAACTATATGTGCAATAAGGGACTTAATATCTTCCTGCGTAAGAGCAAAACAGGGTTTCAGTCTCAAATATTAACACGCAGAAGTTCAGAAAGCTTGAGAGTTTAGTTTTAAAAGTAACTGATTCATTGTCCAGTCAAAAACATTCTTGTAAAGAACAAATGGGAAGTAATCAGATTTTTCCTTAATAAAAAAGCTGAGATCTAGAAATTATTATTAAATTTCCCATATAAATGGACAACATACTCAGTACTGTCCCAATTCTATTTGTGATAGTTTGATTAAACTGTGATGCTTGCTACCTAGGATTAAGACTTCTTGAGAAAAACCAGAGTTTAGCTGTGCCCTGCTCTCCCCACAAGTTTTAGCTCTCCTTCGAGTCCTCAGCCGCACACGTGGGATGAAGCACCTTCTGCTCAGTCACCCTCCAACAAGTCTCACTCTATCAAGCAAATCTTCACGTTCACACCACGCTGGCAAAAGTCACCTGGAGACAACGGTGTGTCTTCTTCTTGCTGGAAGAGACAGCAGCTACGATATCCTACGACTAAAAACTCCCTCCCTCCATTTTCGCAGACCACAAAGATTCCCTGAGAAGACTCCCACACACTAAGGCATTCGCAGCGAGTAGCTCGGCAGCTGTTCCAAGTCCTTGTTTTCCACCCCAGCAACACAACCAACTGGGTGCTCCTGCTTGTCCTGCCTGTCCTCTCCACATACACGTTGTTCCCACAAACCCTGCTGCTGGAAAAGCTCCTGATTCAAAGCTGACACTGGCTAACAAAGCACGTGTGAAGGATTTTAAAGGACAGGGATCATTCAAATTTATAGTCAAATTAGTCTCACTTAGACGCTAGAATACCCAGATTTACTCACATGTAACATATTTCACTTAATTCCCCACTCGAAGTTTGGTCCACAAACAATGCATTCAACCCCTTAGACAAATTTAATCTACAGGATACGTTTACACAGACTTCAAGATGTAAATACGGCCGACACATACTCTGTGATGGGACAAATCAAGTAAAACAAGCACGAAGCAGCTTACTGGCTCCTTTCTATCTGGATATTTATCTACGAGATTTTTAGTTTGTGATTTCAAGTAGTAATATGCTATTTCAAGGGAAAGATCTGCATTTGGTATTCCTACCTGCCATGCCACATATGTGTAAGAGCTGAAGAAGCTGCTTAACTTACCACTCGGATGAATTCAAACAGCTCGATCACAGCGGAGTTGAGCAGATTGTACCTAGTTCCATTATCCAACAGAGCATTGATAACTGGTTCAAACAGGTTTCCCTTGGTAATATAACGGTTATAAAATTCATCTTTTAGGCCAATTATCCTCCTCATAAAGCGAAGAGCACCTATATGAAGAAAGAAATTAAAGAATTTAATAACTACATGTCAGGGCTCCAATCTGCTTCTCTTGGAAAGAACTGAAAAAACCCGATGTTACTGAGAGGAAGATGTGCCCTCAAACCAAGAGCATGAAAAAGCACTTCTGAAAGTTCAAAAGAAACAGTTTGCTGACAGGTAACCTTTCTTTCATTCTCTGACTTTCCTGGCTATCTGAATGTGATCAAGGTCCATTAATTTCTTTTTGAAATACAGCAGCAATAAACTTTAGCGCACAACGTTAAATTATTAGCTCATTCTTGTGCTTTTCTGTGTTCACCTCCCAGAACCAGCCCCTATTCTTTAAATCTTGTGGCTCACAAGATTTCATTCACGCTGCACAAGGAGCACTAGATTTATGACGTTATTAAGAAATGACAGTATTTGCATTTAAATAAGAGAGCTGATCACAAATGATCCTCACTGCCATAAAGACTCAAAAGGATCACTTGGACTTCAAAAGATACAATTCACCTCCCACCATAAACTGCATTGGTCTGCATTAACAAATACCTGCTACCCTTTTTTCAAAATGACTTAACAGCTAGTCAGTAATAAATAGGAAATTAACAGGAATTTTGAATTTAAGTACACGCTTTTACTTGTACACATTCCACAGTCCATACAAAGCCCTGAAGAAGGAAATCACAACACCTCTGTACTCACACAAGGCCAGAAATGTGTGTTTTGAATTCATCAAGACCAGTACTCTTCTTAGCAAATCTTTGTTCATGATATAATTCTTGATGTGATACGTGTGGTGTTCCACACAAAAAGTAAGCAGCTCCAAAATTAAGGCAAGTAGTTGTGCCGTTTGATAATTATCTGCAAGAAAAATGAATGCCTTAAGTTATTTAAAAAAGTACTCTCATGCACCAAATCATCACCAAGCTCAGTTGCTATTCCAGTTCCTGACGTTTTTAGTGGCACACTGGATTGCTTTAGGAAGCGGGATATTAGGTCAGAACAAAGCAAACACAAATTCGGCTTTTTTTTTTTTTAATCCAGCCACAAAAATCACCCTGAATTGGCAGTTGGACTTCTTCCAGGGTCAGCAGGTTACTGGTTACGGCAATCCAGACTAACGGCATGTAGTTAAAAGAAGAAAGGCAGTCAGATCTGTATTCGTGTGAACCTAACTAGCAATGTTTTTTCATAATGCTCAGAAAAGAAGCCTGCACAAATAAAAATCCAAACTCTAAAAGCTCAGCTCTGTTTCGTTAGTACAAATTCTGCTAACAAGGACTTAAACTTTCAGTAGCAAGGTTGACTAGGAAAAAAAAGTGAAACACAGTAACTCAAGAGCAGATGAAAATGTTCCTTCAGCTTCCTGTCATCTCAAGTGAAGCAAAGCACATACATCTGTTTCAATAAAAAGTATTTTAAAAAAATCAAGTATGGACATACCTTTTTTTTTTTTAAAAAATAAAAACACCATACACAGCATACAAGACAAGTTTCAAAACTCAAGGTCAATTAAAACTTACCAGGACAAATCGTATTACTTTTGGTGGACCCAACTACTGCATCTGATAAATAGAAAATAAAAACAAAAAAATCAGAAAAAGGTTTTCAAAGCACTGTAAATATTTAGAAGATGCGGATGAACAGCTGTTCAAACTTTTCCTCAAAAGTTTCTGTAAGCTATAGTGAAATAAACATAGAGCAAGAGTGCATGCCAGGTGAGATTTCTATATTCAATTTATATTACAAAGTTTCAAATTCAACTAGGTGACAAATACGTAATCTAATAGTTAAGGAATATTACTCCTACCTAGACTAAAAGAAAGTGCCTAGTCTACATTTTTCAAATAATACTCAAATGAGTACTACAGATATCCTACAAGTTTTATTTTCATATAAAACACATAAAACATTTATTTTTTTTGACCTAACACTTAATATGTGAAGATGGGTAAGATGAAAGAAATTTTTTTACCAAATACATATTGGTTTGGTTTAATCTTTTGAAAAGAGTACTCGGAAACAAATCCATCTCAAGAGGCTATGATGATGTTAAATTTGTTGGTAAAGCACTAGAGGCGAACTAGTGAGCGTTATTTGTGTGCACCAAATGGAGATTTCCAATTCTTTTACCGTTACCAGGAGAAATTAAAAAAGAAACAAGATAAAGGAGTTCCAACTCATAATCTTTCTTTGAAGAGATTTCTTTCAGCATTTCTATACTACGGCCAAATGAAAACCAGTTTTCAGCGTTAATCACCTGAGCACACCCAATGCCTGGAATCAGGTAACCACTGATGAGTGTCACAGCATTTTTGTAAACTTTTAGAAAAAAGTACCTGGGAACTAAAGACAACCTTTGCTTCACAGCAAATATTCTTTAAAATTACACTAGTAAAGCTAGTATACAATTAACAACACACAGCAAGGAGAGACATATTTTACAAAACAGAGCACAAAGAGAAAGAGCTATTAAAACTTCTGCCCACAGAACCCCTGTCACTGGGGGAACAACCGTTTTCAGGAGGTGTATTCCCAGTTCGCATCACGGGCTTAGCGCTGTTACCAGGACTGTAAGTCACCTGAAAACATTACAAGACTTAAAGGGAAAAAACAAACAAACAAACGTTACCTTTTTCACATTTATCTTCTGATGTATTAGCCAGAAGCGGTGCAGTAAGAACGTGCATACAATGGTTGTAGAAGAAATTGAGAAATTCACTTTTTTCTGTTTTCTAAAACAAATATAACTTTATTAAATACTGGCATTTGTATATAGCCCTTTAAGCAAGAAAGAGTAGCAACATGAGAAACAGCCTCCAAAGAATTCTACCGACTCCTTCAGGTCTGCCGGTATCTTTTTGGTTGGGCCTGCAACATTGTCTTCACTCAAGGAAGATAGATTTCTTTATTTTGGGAAAAGATCTGTGAGACATCAAATCAGCCTAGTTCCCACCAAAAAAAAATCCCTGCCATGGATGCAAATATATACTGAAAATACATCAATGACTCAAAGCACTTGACAAAATTTCCTTAAACCATTCTTAAATGCAGTAATTTCATCCATAACAACCTGCAAACCTTTTTTACACTAAAGAAGAAGTATCATCTGGTCCATTTCACTACATTCTGGATAATATATGTGTATCAATATACAAGTGTTTTGTGTATTACAAAGTGTTTTCTTACATGGAGTAGGCCTTAAATTACAAATACATTATACTTTGGTTTGGATTCAGAATGTCAGCAGGGATGATAAGAATGATCCAAGCTTTCAAGCAAATTTCTACACTTTTCCCATTCTTACTTTGACATCTAAACACACATGTACAATTTGGAATTCAAGAAAATAAATAAATCCTTCAGTATGGCACTGGTTCGATGAAGCTGCATCTTTATTGTGCCATGGGTACTAAAACATTGATTTGGTTTCATGCAGACTCCACTGGACTCTCTTCTTTCAGTATTTATCACCCAGCTGGTGGGAGTTATGACCACACTAGTGCTATTTCACTGCCTGGTTTAATTAATACTTGCACAACGCCACATACGCATGATTTTTATTATCAAAAGTTAACCGAAATTTTAGTTTTTTAGTTGTTTAAATTCAGTATCAGACCATATACAATATTAAAAAAAAAAGTATCTTTTTTTTTTTTAATCTCCTGACCACGAGAACAGTAATAGAGAATACCAGGTTTTTAATTTTGCTGAGACAGTAAAGTGTCTTTACCCCTTTGTATTTTCTTACATTAGCTGTGGCCAACATATTCTCTGGATCTATCAGAGTACGCAAAAGCCCCATTAACTGAACAGCTCCCCCAAGTTCAGGATCAGTATCGCAGATCATCTGCTCGATGACCACATTGATGAGGAGGATATCCTGCAAAAACAAAAAAAAACAAACCCAAACAAACCACAAAATAGTTAGACACAGTTTCAGTAGTGAAGTGATTTCCCTAGTTTCTGTATTAGGTTTCCTTTTTTTTTTTTTCTTTTTTTTAATTTAATTTAAGAGAAACGGAATAATTGAGAACTGCATTCAGACACTGGAGTTCTGTCAAGCGAACCCTCCTCCCTTAAAACCACGGTTAGGCAGACCTACAATCTTATTACTGTAAACACAGGGAACACCAGCATGCTCAGAGATTTTTGTATCTTAAATCTACTTTTTCCTATGTTTCTAGTATCTCCATTTTTGGGCTAACTGCACCCCAAATTCTGGAGAGCTGTGTTTTGCTGTGGTTTTTTTTGTTTTTTGTTTTTTCCTGTTTGCTCTAAAACTAGTATATTCCACAAACTCCAAAGCACTTTTACTTACATCATCACTCTGCTGGGCCTCTTGCATTACAAATTCTCGGACCATGGATGGACTAAATTCTACTAGATAAGAAAATATATCTGTAGCAGCAGATCTAACTTGCAGATCATCCATTCCCTAATAAAAAAAAAAAGAAAAATCAATTTATTAGAATAAATCAAGTTTGCTATTTATTATCAAGTAAAGCTGCAAAGAATAGGGAGTTAAAAGTTTTGAGAACATTTAAAGTTTCTATAAGAGACACAGTAATACAGTTACAGGAAAAAAACCCCAAACCACATAGCAAAATGCAAGGCTTTCTGTGAATCTGACAGCCCTAATTTAGGCAGGAAACATTTGTAACTGTGCTACTGGCTAAAACATCTAAGATGCTAATATTCTGTACCTGTTATCCACAGTTTATTGATTCTGTACAAAAAGACCAACCGTACAAATCAATTTGTACAAAAGTTTCTCTACTCATGTATAGGCAACAAGAATTAATAATTTTCCTTAAGGTATGTGATTTTGTCTGATAATTGTACGATTTCTATGCCTAAAATATTAACGTAGCAGGAAGCATTTGGACTGGCCTAGCCCTGGGAAAGAACAATAAGATTAGGGTTCATCTAATCACTGAACATCTATATGAGTTTTAGGTTTTCCCAACAGTCAGTGTCCTTTGGCAAGTTCACAGGTTGTTACTCTAGAACACAAAACCCCTTGAATTTATAGTTTCTGAGTGATAACAGCACTGACACATGAATTACAATGGTCAGGCAGCAACAGCTGCTTCAATCAAAGAAGTGAAAAAAACCAATGTTTTCACATAGCTGATTAAGATAGATTAATCTGCTTTATACCTCTGAAAAAGACAGGATTACGTGATCTTTTGGATAGGAACAAGCTAACAGTTCAAGATTATCTAAAAATACTTCTTTGGCACTGTTCCAACAACAACAGAAAAAAAAGAATCAGGCTGCCACATGAGAAAGAGTAGCTTTCCAATTTTACACTACGTTGTCAAAAGGACTGGCTTTACCACAGACTTCTCCATCATGCAAAGTAAAAATAGTAATAGCAATAAAGTCAGGCTACTTCAGAAAACTGTGGACATCTTTTGGATTCTGAACGTTACAATAAACTTCAACTTTCAGCAGAGCAAAGCTGTCCAGTCAGACTTACACAAAGGTCCTTAGCAGATCTGAAAAACTGGTTACGTTGCTACGGGTTTTTTTTAAATTTTATTAAAATCAGCTTTAAGTTTCCACTTACCATTACAATTTCGAGAGCTGGAAGAATTCCCAACTTTGCCAAAGTTTTGAAAAATGCATCTCTGTTCTGAGGTTGCAATGTCTGAGAAAATGCGCAGAATTCCTTGAAGAAGTTCACCTGTCATAGAGGAAAAAAATAATTTAAGGTGTATTTGATTTAGAAAACTCTGTGAAAGTAGGAAAACTGTTACAATTTGTATCCGAATTTTTGTATTGGCTGGTATATGCCTTCCTAGAAAATGGTATTATTCTAGTTCTCTCTCCTCCAACCTTCAACAAGAAGAAAGGAAAACAAAAGAAAGTAAAACCAAAAATTAAGAGGTTGAAAAAAAATTGAAAAAAAAACAATTAAGAGGTTGAAATTTACCTCAGAAATACAGTCACCTTGTAGTTATTTTATCACACTTAGCATATGAAGGATTTATACTCCCGTCTGGCGTCTCACTTGTTTGAAAAAACAAAGAAGTTTCCCTTGCTGAAAGCAAGATTTTAACAAGGCAGTTCAAACCGATAAACATATTTAAGGATAAATAATGTTTGCAATATATATTTTAAGGGACTACTGGCAATCCTCAGTCATAGGACTTAAAAGATCTTTTTGAATGAGTAAAGTGGAGTGACAAAAGCAGTGTTTGTATGACAGATATAAGTGATACGGTATGTTGAAGACTAGGATGTCATCTTAGTGCTAGTACTTTCTCAACAATAAAAAAGTACTTTCTCAACAAAATAAACCAGAGCTTACCTTGCAAGAAATATTTTTCTAGTGAGTACATAAACAAAGACTGAGCTACACTGGAAATGATTCTAGGGTTACAGAAATACCTCAATGCCTGCAGAACTAGCACAACAGTTTCGGTATTTCTACTTACTCTCTGCAGTTTAAATCATTCAAAGAACCCCCAAGACCACTGACTTACCAATTCACATCGTTTGTCATCATCTGTAGCTTCATCTGTTAATTGTGCAAAAACTTCAGACAAAAATTTCTCGTCTTCCTGCATAACACATAAGAAGAATATGAATTACACAATGCCTCGTAAAGGTTAAAACATCAATCTTCATTGGATCCCACACTGTACAAAGTCAAACTTAATTTAAGCTTAACTACAATGCTTTTACAAACAAAAAACCATGCGTTAGCAGATTTGGCAGGTAAGGGTTTTTCTTCCTTCTTCCTCCACACCTCCATTCTGTTATCACAAAAAAGGGAAATGCCAGAGGACACATTCAGGAGGATCATTTCCAGTGTATTGTTTCGGCACTCATTCTGTGCAGTGGAAACGGGTCCGCAGGACCAGAACCATACGTTAAGGTGAGCACAGGTGATGATTACCAAAACTGCCTTCTAAGCGACTCGTCTCTAAAGACCAGGTCATTTCCCTGCCTTCTCTGCCGTGCCACCCACTGTGGTTTACAGCTCTGCCCTGCCCCACGCTCATTATATGATTTCCCACACACCCCCATGCATCAAAACTGCAGAAAATCACCAGCTTTCTTGCAGGCTCCCTCCCTGCCCTGTGCACGTAACCTTCAGGGAGGCACCTCGACACTTTTACACTAGAAACTGCCAACCCAGATACCATTTTGCCCGTCTATGTCGTTTGCACCACACTGTTAGCATCACACGTGCATCCGTTACCCTATTTTGGATCTGCAGCATTGCAAACATTTTTGCAGTCCACCTATGCAAGGGTGATTAGATCAACACATTACGAGTTTACCGCAGCCACAGCCCCATTAACCTTGTTCTCAAAAGAAGCTCCCCTGCTTGCAGTAAGTTCAGCTTTTCCAATCTGGAAGGCTTTTTTGAGCATTATTTGCTTTTCATATTCAGCTCCTCTACTACCAAGAGATATTGCTTTTTTAAGTGTACATATAGGACAACACTGCACTTCTTGTTAAGCGTTTCAGTTATATCATTGCTTAATACTCAAGAGGTACAAGAAAACCAGGGTGAACATCGTCATCTCTCAACTGTTTGGGCATTTCCTGCCCTCTCTGTACACTGACTTCTCTGCAATCCACATGGAAAAAAGTGCTGGCATTCTCTCAAATCAAATGTCTCGGTTACCTTTCAAATACAATAAAAATCTTCAAGCAAATACTAACATTATGCTACAGTATTACAAAATCATGCATCACTGTACTGATTCAACTCTATAAACTTTACTTATGCACTGAACAAACATGATCGGAATAGCAGCATTCCAATGAATATACATAAACATTACATTGCACATTGTAGAGCGTGCTTATTTCTCTATTTTTCCTTGTGCCGTCGCTAAAATCTCTGTGCTTTATGAGGCTAACATAATACAGAATTTTTACAGTTACAGGAATAAAAAAAACCGAAGGCTCACAATTTTTTTCCTGAAAATTTTAAGAGGTGGGGAAAGAAGTGCTTTACAAACGACACCTGGAATCAACATCAGAGAGAGTGCAACATACACAGACCTCGTAGTTTATTCTAAGCTTTGCTGGCTTTAATAGCTTAATTAAGCCTGTTAAAAAAAAAAAAAATAACCGTACCACAATCAACAACAGATAGGCTAGAAAATCCCCACTACAGAACACTTGGCAACAGAGAGATCTCTTGCTTGTGTACGTGTAGTCCTGACGTCCTAAAGCACAGGATGCATCGAGGTTCGTTTTCCGTGCTCGCTCAGTTTCCCACGTGGCTGCCCTTCATGCACAGCAGCACTGGGATCTACTGCTTTGCAGCACGTAGAAAGCAGCTTTACTGCCGTAGCAAACACAATCCTTTACTCCTATAAACTGCACTCTCCTAGGGAGCTTTGCCAGTGTATTTAGGGTAACAAGACTTCTAATGTGTTCACCAAACCCAAAGGAGCTTTAGAGTTCTTGTGCCACAACAAAAAGCCGATTTACACCAGGGGACGGCGAAAACACTCCTGAACCTGAGGTCCATACGACCATGTAATTTTCCTGAAAGGTGCTATCAATAACATCTCTTCCATGTATGTTTTCTTCTTCGCTTGTAATTCTCAAGGCAGCTCAAATGATGCAAGTATCAACATTACTCATAAATCATCACGCATGTCTCAATTACAGTCTTTAAAACAGCGAGGCAAACCTATGTGCCATATACTCTCTCTACTACGGCAAAGATGGCAGTGACAGAGTAGCAAAGAACCATCAGGGGATTTCAGAAATTCCTTCAAAGAGTACGAGAGGTAACAGGAAATCAGAGTTTTCTGTTAAGGCACAACTAAATACTTGGTACAGTAAAGCCTAAATGAAAAATAAAGAACTTTACACAGTTAAAAATCTCTAAACGGAAACAGGACTGTGGCCTCAAGAGAATAACACTGAATTTATTTTTAGTTTTAGAAAAGTAATATATGCAAAAGAATAAAAGGGGAAATCTTTATTTAACACAAAGTCACTAATTTCGCAAGTGGGATTTACTTTTTAGTTTCTTTCTGCTATTCAACCATAAAGAAGAAAGTAGAAAGAACTCCAAAAGGTTATTCACACAATCCTCTGCAATTCCTTTAGTTCTGATTTTTTTTCTCCAGTCCTCTATTGCATTCTTTAGAAATATTCCTTATGGTCATGTTACTTCTCCAGTGCCCCTCTCTTTCCACAATTTTAACTACCCTCCTCTTCTTCTTGATATATTCTCTACTTCAGAGAGACTATCCACCCTCAAAACCAATAGGTACCATTTTTCTAAGGACACAGATCAGAAACAGAATGAAACCCCTTAGGTACCCATTAGTTTGCAGAACAAGATATGAACTGAAAACCCCCAAAATGTCATGAAGTTCACATGCAGCTCTTTACCAAGGCTCCTTCCATGGTCCAGCTTGGCTGTGACACCTTTTAAACCTGCTTCCGACTACAAAGCATGCAGTAAGTTTTTTGATATAGTAACATGTTGGTTATTTATTAATTATTACTTTTGGATATCAGTATGAAGAAAAAAATGGCACCAACGAATTACTTACTTTATACTACAACATGAACATTTGAAATTAGTACCATAACGTAATAGTAGTATAACAGGAATGGTTCTGAACATGCTCTTTTGAATCACAGATTCAGAATTTGTTATAACGACACCTCAAATGTCCCTGATACATAATATGGAAGTTGCTTGTTCCCTAAATATCCACACAAAACCAGCTCAAAACGTTTATGTTGCTTGTGAATCAAGGAGAACCTTTAACTGTTTACAACCCATTAAAAATATTAATATACTCACCTGAAATGTACCATTTTTAAAATACAAAATAAAAGGTATCAGAAATAAGGGGAAGCATTCCAAACATTATACCAATGAAAGCATGTATGATTAACTTACACACTGTTAAAGAGCTGCAATCCATTTCAAAACTACAGCTAGAGGTATCTATACATAATCCATCTAAACCACATTAAAAACCACTTACCTGCAACATACTGACAATTTCAACTTTGTTGAAGAAAATAAAGGAAGTGAGGGTAGAAAGAAAATTCTCTTCAAAAACAGATGGTGTCGGCAAGATGATGTCCTGAATATACTGTACCCTGTAAGTCTGGTGGATTTTTTGCCTGAGTTCAGAGTCTGTTATAGGAATAACCTCCTTAAATTTTGCTGTTTTGGTCAAGAACTCCCTGTGCCGTTTTGGCTGAGCCAAAGAAGGATCGTACTCAAGGCATCCAACAACATCCATAATACACTCATCAGAAAACATCACCTCAAACAGAGTTGCTTTGTTGAGGAACAAAATTCCTCTAATGATTTCATACAAGTGATGTAAGCCTTCGGTGTTCTCTAAATTCTCGCAGACTTGGAAAAGCTGTAACAGTTTTTTAATATAGCCTTCATTCTCCAAGGCCAGCGCTAGCTTTTCTCTACGGATGGGTGAGGAGAGAACAGAGGTAACTAGGTCAGCAATCTCTTCAAGTTTGTTGAGTTCACAAGTAGGAAGGTCGATCAAAGGACTAGTTTCAGGCATTTCTTCTATGTGTTCCTCTTCCGACTCAATAAGGTCCTGCGTGACTTCCACTGAAGGATCCTTACCTTGAACCTAAGAAGACAGCACACACAATTACTGCCTCATCCCAAAACAGACATAAAACCAACCAAGTCAGTAACTGCAGTAACAGCTGCGCGAGCACTTTTGTACCTTCAGTTGCCTGGAAAATGTCTAGTTGTGCAGAGGAGTAAATTTGCTGCCTCTAAATTCTACAGTCACTACCATTATCCTCAATAATACCTTTGTCAAAGAAATTAAACCAAAGCAAACCCTAACAGCATCTGTGCAGTCACGAAGTCTGAAGCACCTTGAAGACAAGCACAAAATGTAAAAAGAAAAGAAAGGCGTAACAAAACCTTCTTTCAGTGTCTCAAACAGAAGGGTATGAAGCCTTAAAATCATAGTAAGAGCCCACAGCTATACCAACATTAAATGAAACATAACTAAAGACCAAGAACAAAGGCAGAAAAACGTCACAAATACCAAAACCGAACAAGAAAAGAGGGAAGCAACTGTGTCCCATTCTGCACTTCCCTTCCACTTTCTCTGCCCCTCTAACTCCCTTCCCCAGTCTTCTCCTGCATCCTATACTTTTCGATGCCCCCACTGATCCAGTTCTACAATTCATAACCTCCTGCCGCTAACTCCCTCACAAAGGATCACGTGTTACACAGGAGTCTCAAAGGACAAACTGGGAAGAGTTTTGGAGTCTGATGAAAGAGCGTTAAGTCTAAGGGTTTACATTGTCTGACCTCCCTCTCAGACTGGTCATCAGCTCGGGTCCAATTTAAAACCTGGGCTATTTATTAGACACATATACTTGCGATTACTAGGATCGGTTCCTTTCAACAAGAGTACTTCGGAACTGGCTGAGACATTATACCCCAAAACATGCTAAGATTAAGAATGTACCTAAATTGCCTAGTTTGTCCAAAGGAAACTGCTAGGAAATCCGAGTTCTAGGTTTCTTAGGTTAACAGCTTTACATTGCATCATTTCTAAATCTGAGAAGGTTATGATAAAATTCCAAATTCCATTGACTTGTTACTTCCAGAGTTGAAAGGATAAAATCTAAACTGTTTTGTAACAAAACAATGAAGACTGAAACATCCATAAGACACAGACAGTCAAGGAGACTTAGGTCTTAGTGAAAAAAATATCACTGACATTTTTGAGCTCATACAGCCATGCCAGCTCTTTGACTCTCACAGTGAAATATCTAGCTCCTTATGCATTGTAACACATTTTCAGTTCCACCACACTTCAAGAAGCCAGCTTCCTAATGTCACCTGGGAGAAGGACAATTAAAATGTGGTACTCTGGCATTCCCCTTCTTAATAAGAAAAAACAAAAAAAACCCCTAAGATGCCTACCACCTAAGTTTCATCACTACATTGATTTTTCAAAATCATGAAATTCAATTACAAGAACAACAACTAGTGTTCTAAATAGCGGCAACTTCAGATCTTACACAGAAAAGCCACAGAAAGTAAGAAATGCCACAGAAAATAATGACGAATATGTGCTTATTTTACAAGTAGGTTTAAAAATTACAGCACAGACACATGAGGTCACAGAAGACAATAAAACAACTGGAAGAAACAGAATATTTAAAAAGTTAACTGTACCTGGCAGATTTTTTCCCAAATTTCATCACAGCCAGCTTTTTCTTGAAAACTCAGTGCTAAATCATAGTTTTCTGCTTCTGACCAAACAATCAGGGTGTCCTGTTTAAGACAAAAACAAACAAAAAAATTGTTTCTGAAACAAGTCTACAATGCATATTAATCTGTATTCTGTTTAGTCCCATCTCTAAAGAAGAAATAATTTTAAAGTTACACTTGTCAAAAGAGTGAAAATATTAAATCACCTGTTCTGCCATAAGGGATATCACCTTTCTTTTTTGCTATTTTATGACCACTACCTTAGATATTATATATTTAAATATACTTTTTTTCATGTCCAAAACACTTCTAGTGGCATTGTTCTACAACGTACTTCTGAGCCAACAGTCTTGAAAAGCAAATGCACGCAATGTAGAGGGATCAAGAAAATCTGCAATATAACCACTTCAGTCTTTTCATATTTAATAAAGCAGAGACAAAACCCCAGGATTACAGCATCTCCTCCTCAGAATGGGTTTAATATGGCCTTGGCAATGTGAGAAATAATGCCTAACTAATGTTAAAATGTTCTTCTCTGAATTCAAAGACATACAGCCTGAATCACATAAAACTCGTAAGTTCTTAATGAAGTTACAAACATCTTGCCAACAGGTATTTGCATTTGAGCAAGTTGTTTTCCTCTGTTACTATTGCCTCTATCAATTAAATTTGTGCATTTGCACAAGTATCTGGAAGACTTGCTGGAATTTCTGAATAGACTAAAAAGGGTTTTTTATGAGGTTTTATTACGACACTTGATGCTGTACTGTAAAGAATGTAAGCCTGTGCTTTGACATTCGAATATATAGTCCAGCATCCTACATTAAACTCATCTTCATGTTAAAATATTCACAGTGAATGGCTCTCTGCTAACTCTGCAGTGCATTTAATGAGCTCCAGCAAAACAGTTCAACATGTCGCCAAGTTTGTTGACTTCCTGAACTGTTACTGCACCTTTTTCTTCTTTTAAAACACCAGCAAGCCCTTGCTTAATGGTCAATAACGTAATTTACTTCCCACACTGTACAAAGGTCAATATTCACTGCACAGCTTATCAAGGCTTGTCATCTTATGTATCACTTTTATTGTAAACAAAATATTCAAAGTGGTATCTTTAAGCTTAGCAACCAAACCTAAACAAGTATCTGACCAGCTTATGGATACCTGATATATCTTAGGAAACTTCAGGGGCAACAAGAAACAGATGCTGCCACTACCCCCTCACATCTTTACCCCCAAAGTACTTCTTGGTTCCCTTTGTGCACCAAATGACAGGAAATGATGAAGCTGATTGATTACTACTGGTAAGGTGTTCACTACACTATAAAAGGTCAGTCCATGACATGGTCACAATCCTCCATGTATCCGCCAAAGACAGAGGGACAAAACCATAATTAATACCAAGCGATCATCACTACTCTTGAACCTACTGCGGGTCAGCATTCCTTAATCGTTTTCAATCAAAATCAGGTTAGATGGTTTAAACAGATCTTTGTTAAGACAGTTATCTGGGCTTACGCAGGTCAGGGAGTACTCAAAAGTATTTGTGAGGGGACTAATGTTTGGGACAGAACTGCTGACAAGCAGTTGGCATGGGACAGCAGGTAAACTCTTCCACCTGCACAGCTATCCGAAACACACACCTCTGTCTCAACAAACACAACTTACCAGCTGCTACAATTACCACTCTGGAATGTGAATGAAAATCAGCATCGCTGATACGGCATTCATTCTTCAGTTCATTTCTACAATAATCTTAATCTCTCGATATCCATATGTAGCTACATGTTTTGGGGGGTTTGGTCTTTGCCTTTTTTTTTTTTATCTTTGCCTTTTTTTTTTATCTTTGAAAAAAAAGTTTAGCATAACATCTTTTTCTTACAGCAACATTGTTGACAAATGCCTACCAATAAATGAGCTTCCTTCTCCCAAGGAAGATCAGCTTCCTTCTCCCAAAACATAATCACAGGCCACACTAAAAACAACAGTACTTGCACAAGGTCAATTTTTTTTTTTTCTTTCTCAGTTTGACATATTCCTTTAAAGAAAAAGTTTTCCTGTTCTGGAAAGAATTGAGCTCACTGCACTATGGTTTTAATGCTGTTCATGAGAGTTGTTTATTTATACTCAGTGTCCTATTTACACTTGCACTTTTATCCTACAGTTACAAATATTAATAGGTAGTCTCCCTGCTTTTGGGCTCCGATTCACATGTGCAAATGGTACAGCTTCATACAGCCGACACGGTTTTTGCTTACAGCTGTCCACCCTCATCTCTGGCTCTCAGACAGCTGAATCTCTATGTTTACAGTGGGCCATTTTACAGTGAGCAGTTGAACTGGACTTCAAGGCAAAAATACTAATTGTCAGCTGTGGGCACTGAAAAGTCTGATCAGCTCCCTGATCTGGTTCTCTTTTAGAGATTAATCAAAAAATAAGAATTCTTAGGTACAATTTTACGGCTGTTATAGAACTCAAAATCTGAAATGTTTATCTTGAAACGTTCTGTGAAATTACTGATGCCCTGACACTCAAAATCAATACACTTCCAGGTAAGGTGAGACTCAGAGATGCCTCAATGAACAAAGAAGGACGCATACATGAAGGAGGCCTATTCATCACCCAGAATGATTCAAGTAAGAGATACAGTGCAGTAATTTAAATGACTGCATGCACCCATAGAGACTGCACTCAAAAATTTTGTGAGAATTCTCGAGTTACTGAATGGTACTCGTTACAACCTGTACTGCCCACACAAAGCAGGAGTTATGTAAGTTTCTCCAAAAACGTTTCTGAAAGACTGAAAGATAGTTTCATCAGAAAATAATTATTCAATGCCAATATAAAACCTACTCCTCCGGCATACACTTCCCGCATGACCTAAGACAACCCATGAAGACCGCAGAGAGACATCTTCCAGGCCTAGCTGCTGCGAGAGACTACCACTCCCACCTGCTTAGATTAACACCCGCGACGCTGCTCCAGCAACGAGCAACAGCAATGTTCCTTAACTAACTCAAACACAATATAAAGGCAAACAAAACAAGAGATTAATTCAGAACAACAATTTAAACCGAGAGTAGTTCAAAGCCCTCTTCAGTGTCGGTACTGGTTTGCACAATGTCTGCTACTCCACCTCTCCTTGTTCCTGCACCGGCCCCTCAACCCCCTCGATGCCAGCACAGGCGTGCTGTATGGTGAACCAAACCAGGGAACACGTGCTGATAAAAATTAATCCAGCAAAAAGAGGTATGTCAGCTGAATCAGTTCCTACATCTAACCTGTCACATAGTAACATCAATACTCATGCTGGCATGAAAGAGGAACGAAGAAGCCTTGCCAGGATGGCTTTAACAGCACCCCTGCAAATGTGTTCAATCCCAGCCTCAAGTAACTCCGATTTTGCCTCACGTAAATTGCTCTGTGGTCACACGAGTGACGGCAACTCTGTGCAAAAGACAGTATTTGCACCCATTCTTCATCTCAGATCTGAAAACGGACAGGGTGCACCTGAAGGAGAGTTAACATCAGAAGGCAGTGTTCACAATAAGGATTTCTGTAGCAGTTTGAAGTCTTACAGCCATGCAACTGAAAATTACCACCCTTGTAACTGAGCTGCAGGAACAAAGCACACGATCGGATCCATCCGATTTCTCACTGAAGACAGGCTCTTCTGCCAGTTTTGCCAGGGAACTGTAACCTCAAGCAGAGGGTGGAACAACAAAAGGGTGTGGTAACAACTTTTTAAACTGCTCCTGCTAGAGCCTCCAGAACACATCTGACCCTGCTCTTTGGCCAAATCGGGGTGTCCAGTGGAGGTATGTAACTATCAAAGCCTATGCCCCAAAATCCAGCGGGATCTAAAGCTCTTCAGGCTCTCATGTTCTTTGCATACATGCAATTAGAGATTCTTTTACGTTGTATGCTGAGCAGCTTGGCACCTATGTCCAATCCAAGTCCCAGCTCTCTTCAGAAAGAGGTCATGATTACAACGTGCCTAACACCTTGACAGAACTGAATTCTGCAGGAAAGCTAGTGACCACAAACGCGATTCGAGAAGGCAGATAACAGGCCTGCTCTGTTTACGGTTAGTCATTAGTTACAGTTCTACTTAGCACAAACAGTGTAACATTGGGAACCACAGACTGATGCACAGCAACTAAAAATCAGTTGGTTTTCTTTTTTCTCAGAATGTTGTTACACAAATCACAATTTAAGTGATAGCTACCCTGAAAGTCCATTCAAGTAATTTATATGAAGACAGATGCATAGGCAGGGTATGTTTCCCTTCAATCAAGCTGCACCATCGCGCGGCTTTCCCCAAAGCCCAGATGACTGCCACCTTAATGAAAATCTGCAACTGAACTCTGGCAAGCGGAAGAGAGAGCTCTCCTCCACACTGCCATTCACCGACAAGCATCTGCCCCAAGCAGATCAGTACAGGCTCCGAGTCTTCAGGCTACCTACGTAACAGACTTCAACATTCAAATAGGGACACTGAGGAAAGCCCACTTCTCTGGTTAACCAAAACATTTTGCTTAAATCTTTCCGCCATTTTTAAAAAGGATCTATTCCTGAGATGCCCAGCTTGGCATACCACCATCTTTTAGTGATGAGACTGAAATCTCACAAACTGAGAAAAGCATGGGAATGCTACATTAAGGTCTGCTTTTTGCTACTCTACTTAGAAGAAAGCATGTAAAACTTGAGGACAAAGCTCTGTCAACTAAAAGCTCTAGGATTTCAGAGGTTAGACAAACCTAGAACCTGTCTCTGAAAATCATCAATCATTATTCCTCTTAAAAAACCAAACTAAAAACCAAACTTCCTCAAATGAGACAACAGTGAAGCAAACATTTTCAGCCAAAAAGACACAAAAGCACTACAATCAGTAACAAAAGACAACCAAAATAAACCTCAGCCTGAGTTTTTCAAAACTACAACCTACAAAGACTTCCACAAGAAAAATTACAACAAAAGCTACTTAAGTCACTTGAAACTTTGCTACCAATTAAGTAAAGAAGGCTTTCAAATAATCAGTTGTATGAAGTTTCAGAAAACAGGCTGCAAAAGGAAGCATTTTAAAATTTTACAGCAACATAATCTGCATCCGTATTTCATTATGCATTAGTCTCCTCTACTAAACAGGAAGCAGTTCAAGCCTCTTGACTTTCAGAACCCTGCAGAGCTCCGGAAAGACCGTCCTCCTGCCTCAGCGTGGCCCGCCCAAGGAAAGCCTATGACTGTCATCCACCTGACTAAAACCACCAATGTCTACTGAGCGAAATGTGGAAACCACAGAAAACAGAGCCTTCTGAAAAGGGTAGGCCCAAGGCCCAAAGTGAGCCAACCTGTGCTCAAGCCTCTTTCCTCAAATACTCATAACACAACTTGCCACCAAACCAAATAAAATCCTTAAAAGATTTGTCTCTTCATGATTTAGGAAGAACAAAATTACTGCTTCCTAGTGCTGAAACATTTCTGGATACCATAATGATCAAGAGCAGTATAAAACACTGAACAAAAGGAACAGAGAATCTACTCTAGAACAAAGGAATAGAAAGAAAAAACCCCACTAATAACCATGAGAACAATGTAGGCAGAGACACTAAAAATTAATGCAGAAAAAGGAAGAAGCAATAAAAGCAGAAGAGATTTAATAAGCTCCTTTTTTTAGTGGATTAAACAAAAATGACCTATTAACATAGCTCCCAACTGTTTTACTTCTTTGTTTTGCGGAAGGCTTACCCCTAGGAAAGGCAATCGTGCAAATAAGTCTCACCATGGCTAGTCACTTTACTTAGGATAGCAGAAGTTTTCAAGGCTTAAAACAAAAAGTGAACTGCAACAATGAAAGAAGTTCCACAAAGACAAATTCCTTCATGTTATCTCCAGAAAAATAACTCGAGAAGTAAATACGCTGTAACAGAGCTGGCCAAAGTTTTGCCTTCCTAATTCAGCAATTATTTCATATGGCCCGGGATGGGAAACAAAAGTTACAGATATATGTTTCTAAATATTTTTCCTGCAATACGTTCAATATTTATCCAAATTGCATATATTCTCTTCAAAGCCTGAAGTCCAAAAGGGTTTTTTAGGAGACTCACATTTTAATTTCTAGAATGTGAAGTACTATAGCACCTACAGGCTTCTAAGCAAGTTTTTCACCTCTGTGAAAAACATCACCCACGATTCCATGTCATGCCCCTTTCCTTTTTTTCTGAAAAATGAAATTACTTTGAGCATAAAACCATTCCTCAGCATCAGTAATCAGAAAAAATAAAGCCTCACAATAATACTTGCCTGCTGTTTTTGATATGCAGTATTTGGGTTTATCTTCGATTCTAACAGTAGTGAACCTGAAAAAGGTGTGAAGAGACATTTACTGAGTTCAACAAAATAAACATCTCTATTCATCTTACAACAACCGCCCATATGCCACCCAACATACGCTCAACTTAATCCGTATCTTACAGAAAGTCCAGAACCATCTTCTTTAAACATAATTCCCTAAAATAAGCCAGGTAAGACAAAATTCAACAGAATATCTGTATTAAAATGGGTTTTTTCCCTTCTAATTTAGACCAAAATTCTCTGTAGCACAGTTTTTTCTCCTGAAACCCGGTGCCACAGCTAGTTTGTTTAAAGGCCGTCCAGCAAACCTACACAAGTTTGCACCAGGTAACATGCTGCCCAGCATAAAATGTTTTTGCCCACAGAAGCCACGTGGGCCATTTGCTTTTATTTCCTTCAACTGTCCTTCAGAAGCGAATCATCTAGATACTATAAACCCAGGGACTTTATCTTGTGTATGCAAGTAGTGTATGTATCATGGCAACAGCTTCAGAGTAATTTATACCAGTCTTAGGTGGTTTATTTAGCACATTAGCACCTGTCGGCTGACAAAGTGGCAAGCGTGTACCCTCCCCCCTCCAAAAGAGACCCTTAAGGTGACTTTAAAGTGCAGTAAAGCATCAGGAACGCCATACAACTCTAATACAATCAGTGAATTTCTGGGGAAAACAAACAACTCTTTATAGTAGAAGAAGAGGAGGAAAAAAGCACTTTAAAACCAAACAAAATTATTCTGAAAGCGAGCAAAATGTCGTCACATGTAACAACTTAATCTCTGTTCAATGAAAAGAGACGCAGCCAGCTGGAGTAACTGGAAAGGGGAAAGTCTAGGGCCACGGTGATAAACACTGCTGCGGCTTATCGGGAAAAGGAAACTTTGAACGGAGCCACAAGCTAAAGGAAAG